GTCTGAATTTTGACCTTGGGTAATTGGTGCTGTTTGGATCTTGACTGACTGACCGTTCTATGGTATGTGTACCTCTTTAGTATTGTTGTCCCCCTAAATACCTGTGTATTTCTTGGCTGAAAATTGTGCCATGGGGTGAGTTCAGTTCTAGGCCTGCGCAGTAACTAAGAACCACCATCTCGGGGTTCTACTAGTCTCTATCTGACCAGTAAACTTAGCCTTTTTGTGATTTTATGTTGTGTTTTACATTTTCTTCCACTGTACCCAGGACCTTCTAACGTGATCCTTGTCAGAGCTGTTAGTTGGTAGGTGTAGCCTGGTATAACACCATCTAGTTCTATGAACAATATTTTGCTGTTATGACTAACTACAGGGATATTTTTATAAGAAATCATAAATTCCCATTACGATACTGCACAGAAACTTTTACAGCCAGTCACTCTGCTGTAAGCCATGAGTGTGACTCACCTAGTGTGTTAGGCAGCTCCCGTCCGCAGCTTCTCCTGAGATGCCGCTGACTGAACTGTCCTTTGAGTGATACCAAAGTTTTCCATTTTCTTAGTTTTAGAATTCAAACATGTTTTTGTAGAATACCATGTGATTGTAGTTCAGAGTGCTTCAGCTTGTTTATGATATATTTGGGGACATTCCCACTGGTTATTTTATTTACCAGAATCTGTTCATTAACACTGATTGTGGTTTTTTTTTTTTAAAAAAAGGAAAACAGACATAGTGTATACATTTTAAAGACTAGTTTTGGTTCTTGGTATCAAGCTATAGGACCATGTTCTAGACAAAATAGTGTTATAAATAGAACAATCTTATTTCAGTGGAGTTCAGATTCTCTGCTATATCTTTTTAATCAGTTACAGGTTATCAGGAACAGAAACAGACCAGGATTTTGCGTTAGTCCTGATGTGGTGCTGTGAGGTAATTTGCTAGACTGCAAAGTCAGTTTGAACCGCAAGATCAGCAGTTCAAGCCCACCAGCTTCTCCTCGGAAACCTTATATAGGGTCATTATGGGTTGGAACCAACTCGACTGCACTTAACAACAATACAATTCATGTTCAAATCATGTATTTGATTTATGTTTTCTACATTTGTCAACTACATTCTGTTGGACTATTTTGTGTACCTTATTTTCACAGTCCTTTATAGCAGCTAAGAGCATTTATATTGAATTTAAGAATCAAATGCTGGTTTCCGTTGTGTATGTATTTGTAACTGCGTACACCTTTGTGTGTCCATCTACCTCTACTAGTATGAAAGTATCGAATCTTTTTTCTTGCAAATGTCAAATTAGAGCCACATGAAGATCATTTCTGCCTACAAAGAGTAAGGGCACAAGTGAATTACTACTTCAAACTGAAAAAGAATTCAGCCAAAAGAAAGTGCTAGTGATTACAGAAACATCTGGAATGAAGTTTTATTCTTTGAATGGCTGCATTTCTGATTGTTGATGAACTTTTATTTTAGCAATTGGTAACCATGGATCGATTTCACAGCTAACTGTGAAGTTTACATTTTATTTACACTTGAGTAACCTTAAAAAACGAGTGGCTTCTATGTTTTTAAAAAGGGAGACAGCAAACGCAACACAGCTAAGAATGTTTATATTTTTTTTTCCTTTTAGAGTTGTAAAAGAAACAAAAAGAGAGAGAAAGGAGGAAATGCCACAGAGAAATTGGATGGGCTACCAAGCCTAAAATAAGTACCATCTGGCCCCTTTTGGGAAGTTTGGTGATTCTTGCTTTAAAAAGGATCATGAGCAGTTTTTTTGCAGTTGACGGATATTTATTAAAATAGCTGTAGGTAATAGTGAATCACTGTGATTGTAACTTTGAAAAGGAGATGAAAAGTGTGTAAAAAAGAGCTGCAGTGTATTTTGAATATTTAAATAACAGTCATTGCTACTGTTGTTTGTGCAGAGTACTGACTAACTGCTGGGAAAAGACACTACAAGAAAGGTAAGACCAGCGAACACTGTGAGTCAGAGGGGTTTAGACAGCTAAAGAAGCTCTCTGGAAACAAAAACACGCTTTCAACATTTATCTTACCTCACTTTAAAGAGCATGTTGGAAATATAATTCTATAGTATACAAAGTATTTCAAAAATTGAGGACAGTTTCATGATAAAATGACTATATTTGCATATTTTGCATTTTAAGAGAATAAGCCTTATATTAAACAAGAAAGTACGTTTGACACTTTAATTGTGGAGTTAGCTTTTATCAGGTTTTTGTTTTTTTTTTTAAATAGGAACACAAGAAGGTGTTCCAATTGTGAAAAGAGTTTTAGATGTTAAGACTGCTATTTGTATTAATTAAATCTTTAAAGGGATGCATTTCAATTATTTGTACATTTGGGGTCTGGCTTTGAAATAAAACTTTATATTTTATCTGAGTGTCAGAATTATTTTCTAAGTTTTTGGGTGGTTTTTTTTTTTTCTGTCTAAATGCCATATGCTTCTTTTTATGAACAATGGGTGGACTTTTTCTTATAAAAATTTAGCGGCTCACTGATGAATTCAGTGTAATTATATTTCTTTACTATTTTATTATGTGATGCTTTTATAACTGCTATATGGTCTAATCCTCACAACAATGATTTAAGAATGATTGTTCTAATTTAATATATGAAGAAAATCTTGCAGTTTAAGGGACTTCCTTAAATGTTTTATACAGGTCTCGTAGCCCATCATTTGCTTATAGACTTGTTCAATAAGTACTCAAAGCCGAACTATTATGTATGAGAGCCTCGCCTAGGTTCTGGGGCTACAGCAATGAAATGAAGAGATGGAAATAAAAAACAGCCCTTGTCCTCAGGGCACCATCCAGTTCTTCTGGTCTTGTTACAAAGGAGGCAGTCACCTCCAGATATATACTCCTGGTATCTGTAGGAACCAGTCCCGGTAGAAGGGTATCATGCTTGGTAAGGGAGAGGGTCTTTGAAAAAGAGAAGACCCTCAACAAGATGGGTTAG